AAACTACGACTTTCGGCTGAGATTGCACCTTTTCAATTGTCACACCTGGATTACGATTGCTCCATTAATGACAATTGTGCCGATTCACAAACCTTCCAACATGAAAAACAACTTCATCGGACCACAAAGTATTGTCAAACAGTTCGGGCCAATCGTCCTTCTAGCCAATCATAGTTTCACTGAATTCTATGCGAATATCACAATTCTCTGGAAACATCGGTTGCATCAAATGAGGGTTCCACGCACGGTAATGCAACTGTTTTGTCAAAACAGAATGAATCGTATGGCGAGTAAAACCACTTTCTAGCGAGGCCTTTCTAATTGGCATATCCGGATTACGAGTGAAAATGTCTTGAACTAAATCGACAACTGACACCATATGAGAAATTGACGGCCTTCCAGAGCGCTCGAAATCGAATACAGAACCAGTTGTCATTAACTTTTGATGACAGTTTTTGATATTCGTTGCGTTAAGTGTCGCATTCACGCGACGTTCAAATCTCCACCGCCTTTGCACCGCAACTACGAATTGCTAAATTTCATATCTCGAAGCGATTCGTGCTCGATTTTGGACAGTTAAATGTTTAGCCATGTTAATTTATTTGAAATACAGTAACATTCGTGAGGCTTTTTTATATGATTTCCTTCGATTCCTTTATCATCACAATCATACATCAAATACCACATTAATAAAACGAACATATTCCTCTCATACATTTTCACGTATCAAGCCTGTATCAGATATACAAGCAAAAAGAGGAACTATAACATAACTACATGAAAGAACGAGTTCAAACGTGGCAGAACTCCTAATATTCATGGCGGTATTACAGTTTACAACCATAAAAAATTTGTAAGAGTACTGATTTTCATATAAAAGAAATACAACATAAAAACTAAAAAGCTATTTTTAGCACTTTTTAGAAAGAAGTTGTATTTAATCTTCAATAGTCACTCCACAAATGTTCGTTCTTATCTCAAAAAAACCTTATGGAGCATACTTCAAAATAATAAAAAAGAAAAATAAAATATTTCTTGTTATTGAAGAAAAAAGAAGAATTTAAAATAGGGAGCTATTTTTCAGACACCCGGTATATAGAAAGAGAATGACGTCTGTCTAAACAACAACCGTATATTCACAATTCTATACTGACGAGTAACGAATCATCCATAGCAACATGAGCAGCCAACAATCAAAGCAGAACATATCTGCATCATCAAAGGCAGCTGTGACCACTACAATAGCATCATCTAATACTACCTATCCAAGACATTGCATGACTCAAAATTTCTTACTTATCTGGCTAGATGCCAATATCGGCCAATCGATAACAGGTTGCTACGGTATTATGACACAACTACGTGCTGTGGGCATTGATGTCACTATTTTCAACCAACCTGATGAATGTGTCAATTTCCTGACTGAAGTCGATGATCTTAAGGTCTTCTTGATTGTAGAAAGCATTATTGGTCAACAAATAGTACCACTTATTCATGACATTCCTCAGTTGAATGCAATTTACATCCTTTGTCACAATAAACCTCAACATGAAGGGTGGGCATCAAAATTTCTAAAAGTAAAGGGCGTATATATGGAAATCACAACTATCTGCGAAGCTATGCAAATGGCGGTGGAACAGTGTAATCAAAATGCTATCGCTATGAGCTTCGTCACAGTAGGTGAAGCAAATTCTATCCAAAATCTGGACCAGCTAGAGCCTTCCTTTATGTATACACAGATATTCAAAGAAATTTTATTGGAAATGGAATATGATCGACAAAGGATCAAGGATTTCACCACCTATTGCCGAAAGGGTGACTACGGATCGCCACATAATATTGATCGGTTCGAAAGCGAGTATCATAGTGATTTAGCTATCTGGTGGTATACTTTTCCATCATTCATCTTTTCTTTGTTAAACGGGGCACTTCGAACAATGGAAGCCGAGACCATTATTAAGATGGGCTTCTTTATTTGTGATCTGCATCATCAAATCGAAGCGCTGCATCGACAACAGATCGGAAGTTATAATAAAGAGCCCTTCACTGTTTATCGCGGACAAGGTTTGTCAAAAAATGACTTTGAAAAACTTATGAAAACAAAAGGTGGACTTATGTCCTTCAACAATTTTCTGTCCACTACGAAGAACCGAGAAGTTTCTCTCGGATATGTTGAAAGTATCCTAGGAAGCATCGATATGGTCGGCGTTCTTTTTCAAATGTCTATTGACCCATCTGTCTCGTCGGTACCATTCGCTTCCATCCAGGAGATTAGTTATTATAAGAAGGAAGAAGAAATTCTTTTCTCCATGCACACCGTCTTTCGTGTGGGTGGAATTAAAAAAATGGACAACAACAGTTCACTTTATCAAGTCGAACTTAAACTAACATCTGATAATGATCAACAACTTTGTGCATTAACCAGGCGTATTCGACTGGAGGCTATGGGTCCCACACAATGGGCACGATTGGGTAACTTACTGATCAGAATTGGTCAATTTGACAAAGCAGAAGAATTGTATCAAGTATTGCTAGAGCAAGTGGCTTATGGCAGTGACAAAGCCCATTATTTTCATCAGCTTGGATATATCAAAAGACATCAAGGTAATTATGCAAAAGCTATTTGGTATTATGAAAAATCACTCGAAATTAAACAGGAAGCTCTTCCTCCAAGTCATCCTTTGTTGGCCATTTCTTACTACAACCTTGCTTCCGTGTATGACAACCTGGGAGAGTACCCAAGAGCACTTTCATTGTACGAAAAAGCGCTTGAAATTCAGCAAATATCTCTTCCTCCAAATCATCTCCATTTGGCTCAATCCTACAACAACATCGGTTTGGTGTATTATAATCTAGGAGAGTACTCAAACTCACTTTCCTTTTTAGAAATATCACTTGAAATCTTTGAAAAAATTCTTCCTCCAAATCATCCCTTATTGGCTACTTCCTATAGCGGTATTGGTGCAACATATCAAACCATGAAAGAGTACTCAAAAGCGCTTCCATTTTACGAAAAAGCGCATGAAATCTTAAAAAAAACTCTTCCTCCGAATCATCCTTCATTGGCTGTTTCCTACAACAACATCGGTGGATTATATAACGACATTAAAGAGTACTCGAAAGCACTTTCGTTTCACGAAACAGCACTTGAAATTCAACGAACAGCTCTTCATTCAAATCATCCTGATTTGGCCTATTCTCACAACAACATTGGTCAAGTGTATCTAAACATGCGAGAGTACTTAACTTCACTTTCATTTTTCGAAATATCACTTGAAATTTTTGAAAAAACTCTTCCTCCAAATCATCCTACTTTGGTTACTTCATGTAGCAACATTGCTTCGGTATATGAATACATGGGAGAGTACTCGAAAGCACTCTCCTTTTATGAACGTGGTCTAAGCATTGCACAACTTTCACTATCTTTGAATCATCCTCGTCTTCAAGATTTGAGCGCGAGTATTAAAATTCTAAAAATGAAATTGTGAATTACTTTTGATGAATAAAGAAGAATGGTTTTTTTTCCTTTATCTTCGATCGGTCTTATTTAGTCGCCCTCGCTGACGAGCACCACGAAACCTCCCTTGGTGATAAAAATGTAATGAACAAAGCCGACCGCTAAGATAATACATGTACATATAAAAGACCTTCGTAGATGTATTTATGTATCTCTCTCTCTCACTCACATACAAGACTTCTTCTGTACTAAAGTAACAATCATCTTGGAAAAGCATCTAATACAGAGTATCGTCGAATGAATGTTTCGGAAAAATATCTGAAAAAGAAAAGAAATAGGAAATATAAAAAAAAGAATAAATACCTTGACCTGCATTAATTAGCATTCTTGAATCTGTCTTTTCAAAATTCTTGTTCTCCTTGATCAATCAATCAAGACTCTTTTAATCTAAAAGCTCGGATCAGATTCATTTTAAGAGAGGGCCCATGAGACCGTCGACCGACCTTGCATCCAAAATTTTTTTTCTTTGAAATGAGTTAGATCATTTGAAAGAGTGTAAAAAGTTACGTTAAAAACCAAACTTTTACCTCTTTATGTAAATCTTATAAGAAGATAAGAGGGACTCTTCGAACACTGCCTCCGATACCACTATAAAAATTTCCAAAAATTTTCATGAATTTTCATGAATTTTAGAGAATTCTATTTATTACTTTAGGACAACATATAATGCTATGGAAGACCCATCTATTTTAGCATAAATCAACGTATCTTGATTAGATCTATTAAATGGCCCATCATAGAACAAGATTCTCAAGTGTAAATCGTGTTTAAATAGTCCCTTATGTCTTACTTTTTAGCTAAAATATAGGCAAAGATGATCATTTTTTATCGAAATCTTTTATGTTTTTGGTCTAAAAGTATATCAGAGCGATTCTCTCCCAAAATTCTTTTATAAGCAAAAGATAGCCCGTCAAAAACTGCATCTTTCTATATATAACTCATTAAGACAATTCGTGAAGGACGGCTGATTTAGTTTTTCATTACAAATAAAATCACCACCACGTTTTGTGTGGGTGTGGGTATCAGTTGAGGAGTATTAAGACCAACACCCATATCCACACCCTAATATCAACGACTTCAGGTTATCTTGAGATAACTCACGAGATTTCAAAAGATATTCAAGACTGACTTAATCAGGCTTTATCAATTTTTCTACTTCATTTATATATAGATATGAGAAATGGTAATTTCAGAGAAGGTATGGGTATGGGTGGGTGTGGATGTCAGCATTCGATTCTCTCACACACTCACATCCATACCTCAGCGTCATCTGAGATACAGTAATAGTCGAAAAGTTATTGCAAAGTGAAAGAAAATAGATGATATTGCATAATAGTTGTGCAATTTTTCCCATCATGATGTGAAACGTGGCAAAAACAATATATGCTTCTAGTCAATGAATCATCGAATCTCAAGTAATCTGTTATTAATCGCACACACACAGACATTGGCATAGAAAAAAGAATCTAAATTGCATACGCAAATGGGTTCATCATTCAACAAGTTTGCATCTTATTTTGCTGAAAAAGAAGCGGTACGCATTCATATGGCGGGTCTTAATGCAGCTGGTAAACCTTGTTTTATGTTTCTATTGTTGATTGTTTATCTTTTCTGTTTATGCTTTGATTAAATCAGGTAAAACTAGTGTTCTCTATACTATGAAACTAGGCGAAATTGTGACAACGATTCCTACGATCGGTTCCAATATTGAAACGATTGAATTTAAAAATATTAAAATGACAGCTTGGGATCTGGGTGATCGTGGAAAAATTCGACCTGTATGGTGACGGTATTTGTCAAATACACGTGCTCTTATTTTTGTAATCGATTCAAATGATCGAGATCGAATTACTGATGCATCCGAAGAATTTCATTCAGTCATCAATGCGGATGAACTTCGAGATATATCCGTTCTTATCATGGCTAATAAGCAGGATCTACCAAATGCAATGTTGATTGATGAATTACCTGATAAGCTTTCTTTGGACAAATTAACTCGTTATAGAAAATGGTATATTCAAGCGACATCCGCCACGGAAAACCAAGGTATTCAGGAAGGTTTTGAATGGCTGGCCGATACATTAGTTTCCAAAAATATGAATAGTTTTCAACCATTCATAGAAACAGTGAATGATTTCAAATTAATAAAAAACAGTATTCTGCCGACATTGTATCATACCAATTTAAAGTCCATTTTTCCTAAATTCATCTAAAATTGAACATGTATAATTTCATTAGATCTACTCTAACTACAATATTTGCATACACATTTAGGTAATTGCTATGCAGTGAGAATGATACACACACACAAAATATTCGTTTTACTTAGCTGAGTGCCTATATTTCAACTGGGGGTATGCCTTTAGCTGGTGTTCTACTGTGTATACAGAAGAAGTTTGAAATTGAGATTTTGTATACGGAAAAGTATCTTTACAAGTCAGTTCTATGTGTTTCTCCACACGCAATGTTACAATATATAATAGAATTGGAAAATATCCTTAACCCTTTGACGGCGGACTTATTTTACGAGCAAATACAATGAAAATCTATTTTTTGTGAATTTGTTTTTAATTAGAACAGTTTAAAATCTGGAGAACTGATTTTGACTGACCTATTCGTATGAAAATAATCAATATCATAAAATAGAAAATCGCAAGTGGATCACTTTTTTCGTAATAATTTCAAGAAATAAATTCCAAATATGAGTTGATATTAGACAAATAGAACGAATATGTAATGTGACAACAAAATGTTTTGGTCATGTTAAAAGAAGAATACACAAAATAATCATCGATTAAGACAAAAGAAAAATTAGTAAACCAAAGACAAAGTAAGTAAAATAGACAGTATGCAATAAATCATGACACAACTGATAATATGAATGTGCGGAGTGAAAATTCTCGCAGATTGCTAAGAATTATACTTTTTTCTATGGTATTCGATAAAATGTCTTTTCATATTCAATACAAAGACGTTTCTCAATATTTTTGTAGCCAAAAGCAACTAAACTTGTGATGTTTAGGCATTAATTACATGCTTTTTAAGCTTTTGTTTAAAAATTACGGTCAGTTTTGACTTAGTATCATAGAAAGACAGCGTAGCTTGCCGCTACAGAACGTACAGTTTACTAAAGCTTCGCTTCATATTCAATGCGAGTCCTATTAGAGCTGTATTCAAAAAAAACTTAGCTTGTCTCAAAACATTTTTTCTACCGCTCGAAGAATTAGCCACCACAAAGAACTGAGGCTTTTCTTATTTTTAATATATACATAATGATAGTATGTCCTTCGTTCTCGAAAATTTTATCATATATCAATTTTATATTATTGAAACACAACCGTGAGATCTCGCTACTTTACGCATCACAAACTAAGTGCTCTACTAAGGGTTACCAATTGCAACAATAACAGATTAAAAGAAAAGTGTTGTTGATCAAAATATCCAAACCAAGAATTCGATTATATCGTTGTAAATTACAAAAGTTTATTATGGGAGTTTATTCCCAAAAAAAAACAATAGTCCTTGTCTATTATGCAAGTAAATGCAGTTTTAATGGGCTTTATTATGTTTTAATGCTTGAAAACCGTTTAGGCATTTGCGCTTAGCTGTAGGCGATGAAAACATCAATACTACTCTACAGAAACTTCACAATCAGAACCACTTTTAATGGAAAAATAACTCGCAAAGTATTAGTCATAGCAATCGGTGGTTCACTAATGGTAATGCAGCTTGAATAATCGAATGCTCAACCAATTTCTTGAATTTTAACTTGATAGGAACCTTCGATCTAGTCATAAAATACGATGTTGAGAAAAAAAACCGCACAACAGAAATATTGTATTTCAATATTTTTCAGGCAAAGAAGTCATGGATGTTGAAATTTCTGTTACAAATAATTTGGGTGGGTGTGGGTGTTCACTTCTTTTTATCCAAATTCACACTCACACCCTCAAGCACAATATGTCATGTTGAAAAAATCCAGTAAATGACACATGGATATTTCCAACACTTGCAAATATCCTAGAGCTCTCCACTTGAACATGCATCAAACCAACTTACCTTATCCTATAGAGACAGAAACGTTTCTTGCAAAGATTTTAGACTTTAGCAAAATTTTCCCTAAAAATCAACTGTGTTATATTTATTGTCCGCTATTGATTATCAGAAAAGAAAATCTAAGTATAACCCGAATGATACCAAAAAAGTCTCTGATAAATGCTTTCATGAAAACTGATATTACATAGGAATCCATGTTTCAAAATACTAGACAAACACTGTGACCCCATGCGGGGTCACCCGTCCTCAAAGGATTAAAATGATTTCAAATGGTATTTTGCTTGCTAAAAATAAAAATAATAGTGTAATAACAATTTTAAGAAACGATTGAAAAACAAAGCTTTTCTTATGTCTAGTCTTCACTATATAAGTAAAAAAAAATCGACATTTCATACAAATTACAAGATTATCGACTCTAATAATAAGATTTTTTTTTTGATTTAATATCCGTATGCATATATTAATTCGATCAAGAAAAAGAAATAGATAATTTCAATATTTTATTTTTATTGTTCGTTTAAAATATGAACTATTTCTAGAAACCAAAATGCAATTTCAGCACTTTGATCATAAGAAGAATTAATAGATCCAGGAAATATGCCTTGTTCAGATTGTTGATTTATAAGAGAATTAGTAATTTTTTCAATAATACTCAAATATTTTTCTTTCAATGTATCATCATGTTTATAAAATAAAGCTGTTGCCCATGCTAATTTGTGACTCATATTAGATGAATAAATATGTTCATTACATGTTAATGCAAAATTCATATAATCTTTTGCACCATTAAGAAAATTTTTAGCATTTGTTTTTTCATATAATAATACTAAAAATCCAATTGGATAACCAATCATAAAATAAGCTTGTTGTGGTTCATTTTTACGAACAATATATACCCATGACATTTCCGATGAATAATTACTAATTAAAGTATTATCTTTATCCAAACGTAAATATAAACCACTTGTTAAATCAGATTGTTTCTCAAATACTTTCAATAGATAATTACCGGCTTTGATAGCACGTTCAATATTACCACGTTCTAATTGTAAAAGACCAAGATGTGCCGTTGTTAATATATCAGTAATACCATTATTATTTGTATTAATTTTATTTGTTAAATAACCACCATTATCATAAGAATATGCATCTAAATAATTGTATGCTATCTCACGAGGGAACCTATTCAACTGTCCAATCGCTTTTGAGTTCGAACTCAGTTTGAAAGATAGACCCCAGTGAGGTATGAAAAGGCCCAAAAGGATAAGTGCCCATAGGCCTTCCGTCCAGAGTTATAGGCATTTTACTAGATTTTTAGCCTATGGCACAGTATATACCAAAAAATCGAATGACAATATTTCGAGCTGAGATTTCGTCCAACGATAGGTCTATGTACCAATAGAATGCCCTGAAAATTTCAGCTCAAAAGAATGTTTCAATCTCGGGATATTAAACTCCCAAAAATCACGCATATCCCGCGAATGATGCTAGAATTTTTTGGCTTTTGGGTGTTCAATATCTCGAGATTGGAACATTCTTTTGAGCTGAAATTTTCAGGGCATTCTATTGGTACATAGACCTATCTTTGGACATAATCTCAGCTCGAAATATTGTCATTCGATTTTTTGGTATATACTGTGCCATAGGCTAAAAATCTAGTAAAATGCCTATAACTCTGGACGGAAGGCCTATGGGCACTTATCCTTTTGGGCCTTTTCATACCTCACTGGGGTCTATCTTTCAAACTGAGTTCGAACTCAAAAGCGATTGGACAGTTGAATAGGTTCCCTCGTCAGTAATATCAGTTCGATTTAATTTTTGTGCTGCACGAACAATCCATCCATTTGTATAAATCCAATATTCGATATATTCTGGTTGATCACTTTTCTTATAAATTGTTGTTAAAAAATCACCATTAAAAAGAAATTTATTTTTAATATAATCTAATATATTATTAGCTTGTTTTTCATATCCAGCATTAATAAACATCATTGGTGATTTAAAATAACATGCTAAATCTTTTGCTTCCGTTCGATAAGATCCATTTGATTGTAAATCATTTAAAAAGTAATCAAGAATTTTTCTTGCAGATTTAGATAAATTATCAGCTAGAGATTTTGTCATCTGTAAATATAGGAGAAAAAAAAATAGAGTGTCATATTCTAATCATGAAAAATATAAAAATTTAATATTCATAATCAACCGAAAAGGTAGTGTACTCTGTATGTATAACGTTACAATACATTATTTTTGTATATAGATATTCGAGACTTCGTCTTTTTGTAATAATGAAGATAAAAGCAGCACTCCTTGTTTCAAGTATCTTTTTATTGATCAAATAGAAGAGAGACTTCGGGAATAATACAGTGATCTGATAGGTAGTAACTCAATGAGAGTTGAAAATGAACTACGATTCTTAAAATAAATGGAGGCAAAATACTTATATATTACACTTTCATCATTCAGAATAGAGTAACTTCCTCAAATAATTTACGCATGTAAACATTGTAATTCTATCAAAATTACTTAATATAATATATCTATAACGACAAATGAACAGTGCCAATAATTGCCCTATTCGACAGGATGTTTATTCAAACTACATAACCTCATCACAGTTGTCTATTCTTCTGTGAGACTTGGTGAATAGGTCACATAGACACGGAAAAGAGAACATACATGAAGAGAAGCATAACGATCAATGATCGTTACATTATGAATATTCTTCTATTATCTTTCATCTGCATAACATTATCTTGCATAGCAACAATGAAAATCATACGATTGACTTCGAGTTGTTGTTGTTTGTTTGCTGCTCCATAATCTCGTTTATATAAAAAGAGTTTGAAGATAATTCTTTATAAATAAATCTTAACTATAACTTGTGCTCTCTACATTTCGTCTATATGTTTTATCGTGTTTGTCTGATGCAATAGAGGTTTTTTTTGTATTTCTTTTCATTTTTTCTATAATTTTGTTTATAATCGAACAACTTGATAGATCCTTACCTTTCTTTTTGTTTCTAATATATGTTTAAGATTATGTTTTCAAAGATAATTCGATAATTCTTCAGATCAAATTCACCTTCACTTGATTTGTCGTACAGATTAGAGTAAAGGAAAAGAAAACTTATTGGTTTACCTGTTTCATTCAATAAGAATAGGAAAAGGAAAGGTGGCGTACACTTCTCAAATTGTAAACAATATCATGGACAAAATTCATGTGAAAAACTTGTCAATTCATACCCATAACGAAACTTACATAAGAATGTAATAATAACAAAAAAGAATTAGAAGAATAGTTTTAAAATATTCATACACTAAGTAAATATTTTTTATGTATCTATCTGTTAGCTAACTTTTCTTTTTCTTATACATCGAGTATGAATATATGCGTAAGACAATGTATTTTTGATCGTATGACCCATAATAATCTTTAAAATGTAAGCAGTTGACTCGAATTCTGTTTCTTATTCTTCGAGATGGTAATTATCTAAAAATTGCTTGTTATATCATCTAGATGCGACAAGTCAAATGATGACATGTTGATATTTCATGTAAGGCGTGCTTTATTTATGGAAAAAGTTTTAATTGGTAATTATAACAAAATTGGTTCGAAATAAACTTCACGATTATAGCTACGGTCAAAACATTTACAACTTTGGCCGATTTTGTTCATTAGAGATATAGGTGAGTGTAGAACAAAAACACATATCAATCCAAATTCTAAAGTTGAAAGTTCTCAAATTTGGTATTAAAGTAATTAAAATCATTATTTGAAGTTAGTGACTGTAATTCGATTTAGATTTGCATGCGATGAAACTATGATATCACGTGGAATTGTACGAGTACTTGGACCTGGACCAGCTGATGACGATCGTTTTATTCGACGAACAGAAACACTCGATAGAGCTTGTCGAGTTCTTTTGTTTTCTTTTGAATTATTAAAATCACTGCGTTGGATTTCGTTCGATTGTGTTCTATTGTCAATAATTGATGTTGATGGATGTGGTTCGATCGATGATTTAGTAAGTCGAGGAAGTTTCATAAAAGTAAAATGATTCTTTTTTGCTGATGTTGATGCAGAAGAAGACGAAAAAGTTATTAAATCAGAAGAATCTTGTAAAGCAGATCGAATATGCACAAAATTATTATTTGATGTCTTTGTTATATTATCTTGTCGATCGATTCCTTGTGCATATGCAGATGAATTTGAGTAATGTAGAGAATCGATAGATTTTCCAGATAATTGCTTGCTTCTTACATTGTCTTTATTGTCAATAAGTGTATTATCTCTTTGATTAATTCTAGTAACAGTAACATCGCTTGATATTGGTGGATAATTGACGACTGTGACACTGCTACCTTGTCTTAGTTCATTTTTTTCATGTTGATTTTTTCCGCTGAAAAGTTGTCGATGAGAGTTTCCATTTGTTGGACTCCGTACAAAGCAGTATTCCAAGTCATCGCTTGTTTTTCGACGTTGTCGACGACGTTTACAACCACTAATGAAACGAACAACAGATAATATACATTTAGAATAGAATATTTCTCTTACAATAAAAACCACCAACAACAAA